CCAGGGAGCCCAGACTGCTCAATGCTCACCACATCGGAGGAGAGGCTTTGGGGGTGGGGGGTAAGCGCAGGTTCAGGCCCTGGCAGCGGGCAGCAGCCCCCGCCCCTGGCCCGGCATCCTCATCCCCTAGCGAATTGTGCGGCACAGCGCCCACCAGCCTCAGTCCGCCTCCCGCTGCACCTCCGACGCGTCTGCCCGGCAGATGGGGCACGTGCGGTTCGCCTGCGGGCATAGAGAGACCGGGCAAGTGAGAGGGCACCCCATGACACCAGCAGCACCCCCTCCACCCCACCGCCAAACACTGGCAGCACCCTGCAGTGTTCCTTATCTTGGGAGTGCCTGATCCAGCCCAACAAGGCCACCCAAAAGGCAGCATCTTGCGCCTGCAGCACCCCAAAAAGCCACCTCCCCCAACTCTCCACAGTGGGCACAGGCAGTACCTTTAACCATTTGTCGACACACTTGGCGTGGAACTCGTGGTTGCAGGGAAGGACTCGGAGAAGCTGCCGGGCCTCGAAGTCGCTGAAGCACACGACACACCTGGGGGAAGCAGCTGTTAGCTCTCAGCCCCGCTGTGCACCCGCAGCACCTGGCCCCCTTCCCCGGGCACCCTGTGCCCCCCTGCCCACACGCTAGGCTCACTCACAGGGTCTGCTCAGACTGGTGGCTCTCGGGGTTGAAGCGGTAGGACGGGAGGTGCTCAATGTCTGCTTTGGTGAGTCCCCGTGGCTTGGCCTCCCCCAGCCGCTCAGCCAGGTTTAGCAGCGCCTGGATGAAGACGCAGAGACCGGCTCAGCTCAGGTCCCAGCACAGCACCCCTCTGGGCTCTCCGTGACCTGGCAGAGCCATGACAAAATCCCCCCGGGCTCCCCAGCTCCATCACCCCATGGGGAAGCAGAGCTGACGCACCTCATAATTCTCCATCTCCACATCATCCACATCCAGGTCTAGGCTGATCGTGGGCCCCACAGCCGTCGGCGACACGGGAAGCATAGAGCTGAGAAAGGATGGGATGGTCAGTATGGAGCTGCAAACCCCAACCTCCATCCTGGAATCCCCAGCAGGGTGGAGCTACCCATGCCAGCACCATGCCCCATGTCTGTGGTGCCCCATACATCCCACCATATTCCCCCAGTACTTACAGGAAATAGGGCAGGAAGCTCGGGTAGTACGGTGGGGGTGGCGGAGGGGGT